TAGGCTGTCTATTTGTTTTGATGACAGTGTCTTTTGCTTTACAGAAGCTTTTCAGTTTCATGAGGTCCCATTTATTGATTGTTGCTCTTAGAGCCTGTGCTGTTGGTGTTCTGTTCAGGAAGTTGTCTCCTGTGCCAATGAATTCTAGGCTGTTTCCCACTTTTTTTTCGAAAGTGGACACAGGCGAAGGTGATTAATCCTCATTTAGAAAGACAAATGGGATGTGCATTGAACTTATGACAGGAGTCTATCACAAAAGGCATCTGAAAGACTCTACCTAGCAGTGTTTCAAAGCAGACACTAAGACTCATAACCAAACCCTCGGCAGAGTGCAGGGAATCATATGAAAGAAGGGAAGTTAGTATGATATGGAAAGGATAGGAGCTCCACAAGGACCAAATATATCTGGGCACAGGGTCTTTTCTGAGACTGACACTCAACCAAGGACCATCTATGGATATAACCTAGAACTTCTGCTCGGATGTGGCCTGTGGTAACTCAGTAACCAAGTAGTTTTCCAAAGTAAGGGGAACACGGACTATTTCTAATAGGATCTCAAGGGCAGGCTGTTTGACCCCCACCCCAGGGGAGGAGCAGTCTGTTAGGCCACAGAGGAGGACTTTGCAGCCAGCCCTGAAGATACCTGATAAAACAGGGTCAGATGAAAGGGGAGGAGGTCCTCCCCTATCAGGGGACTTGGAAAGGGGCAGGGAGGAGACCAGGGAGGGAGTGTGGGATTGGGGAGGGAATGAGGGAGCGGGATACAGCTGGGACACAGAGTTAACAAAATGTAACTAAAAAGAAAAATAAAATTAAAAAAAAAATTAAAAAAAAAAATGAAGGTCAGAGGATGGCCAGTAGTGGTGGCCTTCAGATAAGGCATACACCAGGTACTGAGGTGGCTCCAACTGGGAAGACAGGGTTGGAAATCTATACCTCAGGGGAACATTCCCCAGGAATGCTAGAAACATGTCTTCTGACTGGGGGAACATGCAGATTCAAGATGGCAAGAAAGCGGAAACAGTATCTTGATTCTACTCAAGTCCCAAATCTATTCTAGGTTGTTCCAGATAGCAATCCAATGGATTCTTAGGTTTATTGTATAGAACAACAAAATCAATGCTTTATTTATATATTATTTATTATATGACAAATCATGTTCTAGTCACTGGGAGTACAGCAGGAATGAAAGTTCACTTACTCTGATGATCTGTATCATATAGAAAGCAGTAGAAAATAAGTAAATACACAGTATGTAAATTTTGATAGTTATTACAAAGATCGGACAGGACAAGGAAGCAAGATAGTGATGGTGCAAGTTGTTATTTTATATAGAATGGTCAAAAGAAGGCCTCAACAATACCATGTCACTTGAAAACAGATTTAGGGCAATGAAAGGAAAGAACAGTGTGTAACCTTTGGTAGGTCTTGTAGACATAAATTATAGAATGTACAAAGGCCTCAAGGCAGAGTTCCTGATGTACTTTAACAGAAAGCCTGAACTGGCTGTTGCCTGCATCCCTTGGATTCCTGCAGCCTAAAACTTCCTAACTGGGTTTTCCTGGACACAGGAGCAGTGGTAGGACAAACTGAGGCTCCTAACCCTGGTAGGTCATTGTATACAATATTTTCAAGATAATGCTTCACTATTATGCTCCTATTCAGACAAAATGAGATCTCTCTCCTTTCCTCACCCATTTGCTGGAGGATCACTGCTTTCCCCAAATCCGCAAGCGGATCTGAAGATTGAGGGCTGTGGGCTTGATGGAGGAAAGAATTGCCTCACTTTCATATGGTTTACCTTTTTGGTAGCAGCTTCTGGGTCCTGTCCCCTAACCAGGAAACTGTTCAGATGACGCTGTGTTCAGTCTGAGGATCTGTGTGATGTCTCTAGTTATGCTCTTGTCTACTATCCTTTTTCTTCCTCCACAGATTCTGCAGCTGTTCCTGTTTCTCTTTTTTGAGATAGACTGTTTTTATTACTTTTCTCTGGCTTTCACAAAAGGCCTCTAGCCCATCATTTTATCAGAAAACCCCAGAGAGAACACCTGTATTGCTCTTTTCTCATCCTTTTTTTTTAATTGACTTAGCCCTTTACAAACTCAATGTATGGCAGTGTAAGTCATTCAGGTACTCAATGGCCTCTTCCATTCAGTAATAATCTGTTCCACCATGGACCTCAGTGAAACCACTGACCCTCCCTACCAGTTTTAGAGTTCCTGGTGAACCAAATTTCTTTAAAAACTTATTAAAAAATATACTTGTGTGTGCATGCATCTGTGTGGGCATGTGCACTTGAATGCAGGTGCCTGCAGAAACTGGAGGAGAGCATCAGATTCCCTGGAACTGGAGTTACAGGTGGTTATGAGCTGCCCAATGCAAGGGCTGGGAACCAAACATGGGTCCTCTCCAAGAGTGGCAGGTAGTTGTTCTTAAAACTGCCGAGGCACTTCTCCTGCCAACATCTTAACTAAGCAGTTTATTATCATATAGTGGGGCAACTTGATACATTGTCTCCTGTCGAGATAATATAAATGCACAGTATTAACCATGAAACACTTCTGTGCAAAGTGTGAATCTAACCAAGTCTTTAGAGCTGATTTACAGTAAATACTGGGCCTAGAGGGTCAGACATAGTACTAAGAGTTAAACATACAAATCCAGAATGCAGGACACAATTCAAAAGTATTTTGATCTTTTCATAAAGACAGTGTTATGGAAAGTAAGAGCTAAGGCATTGGAAGGACACCAAAGAGACACCCAAACACCACAGACAAACCTTGATAGAACCTTCATTATATAATTTAAATATACATAGGAAAATTATAAGGGTTGTTGGAAAATACTGGAGAAATTCTGTTTTGTTTTGCTTTTTTCCATGTGACACTGTGGAAATATAGAAAGCAGCTCTTCCTTAAAGGAAACTCATACAGAGATATTAGGGATAAAATGTCCTATTTGAAACTCCCCTTTCAATGGTTCAGTAAAACCAAAACTATTTATCTAAATAGTACATGGAAGCAAGTATACATTGTCCTGTTTGTGTTACCTTGACACAAGGTGGGAAGATAAATCTTCATGCCTCTTTGAGATTGTCTGTAGGCAAGTCTGTAGTTCACTGACCTATCCTGTAGCCCTACCTTTGCTTTGTGAGTTTTTTCCCACTCATCCCTACCCTCTGGTTTCACCCCTTATCACTAGAGAAGAAAAAGGATAGAGGAGAGATTCTTGAATCTAATTTGTTTATTCTTTGAGCATGACTACTAACAAACCTCAACCAACCCCTGAAGAATAACGAACCACCACCAATTCCACCTACTGGGGCTCTAGCATTTATTTACCCTCTGCAAAATTCCCAATATCACAAAATCACAGAAACTATCTGTCGCTGGCAAAACCATGCCTCTGATAAAGCAAGAGGCAAATCAGTCGGTTGCTGCAAAGCAATCCCATATCCCCACACTTAGGCTTAAAATGAAAACATATTCTTGTGATATCTGCTCTCCCCCCACACCCACCACAGGGTTTCTCTGTGTATCCTTGGCTGTCCTGGACTTGCTTTGTAGACCAGGCTGTCCTGGAATTTACAGCAATACACCTGCCTCTGCCTTTCTGAGTTTTGGGATTAAAGGCATGTGCCACTACACTCAGCTTCTGTTAAATGAATTTTATTTTAGAAATTAAAATTTCCAACCATTTCTGAAATGATCCTACAAATACTTGTCATTTTGTACTATACATGTATGCAAAGCAGTATTCTCATCATTTAATAATTTTAAGATCAGAATATTAACTGTGAAAAACATTGAAGATGCTCTTTGTACGACAGTACCAAATCTTCATGTAAAAAAACAAACAAACAGATCTTTACCACTGCACTTTCTGTATGGTACTGACACTGCCATTGTTTGTCTTATCCAATAGATTAAAATGTTTTGAGATTAATGACTTTTGGCTAGCCTTTTGTTACAGACTGAACCCAGTAGTTATGTTTGAGCTTCCCACCCTTGTGTGTTCCTTTCTGTGCAACCCTGGCTGTCTTCGAACTCACTCTGTAAAACAGGCTGGACTTGAGGTTAGAGAACCTGTCTCTGCCTCCTGAGTGCTGGAATTAAAGGCATATACCATAACTGCCAGCTTAGCAATTATACTCTTATGTTAGCTAACAATTAATAGATATTTTGGTTTATGTGGAAGTCCCTAATCCATGTACCCACTGACTGTAAAGGGCAAGGAAGCTACTTTTGCAGTGTCATTGATGACTGCAGACTCAGTTGAGAAAAAGGGACACAGAAGGCTCTGGTGATAACCCCCCCCCCCCAAAAAAAAAAAAAAAAAAAAAAACACCAAAAACCAAAACCCAAAAAACCAGCTTAGACAGGAAGCTATGGAAGAGATCTCTTAAAAATTGTGGCAAGGGCCAGGTGCAGTGGCACATGCCTGTAATCCCAGCACTCAGTGAGGCAGATGGATTTCTGTGAGTTTTAAGCCAGTCTGATCCACAAAGTGAGTCCAGAACACACAAGGCTACACAGAGCATCCCCATCTCAAACACACACAAAGAAAAAGGAAGAGAAAAAAAAAGAAAAAATATTTGACAAGGATGCTGAAGTGTAGCTCTCCACAAGTGAGGGCTTCTGATGGGTGTATAGATGGGGTAAAGACTCAGTTTTAAGGGAAGACTGAATATACAGGCAACACCAACTGAACTTATATTTTTTTTCTCTTCTTTTTTTTTTGGCGGGGGTGCGGAGAGTCGTGACAAAGGTAAGGGGGTGGACCTGGGAGGACTGGAAAGTGAGCGTGATCTGAGTGAATGATGTGAAATTCCCAAATAATAAAAATATTATGATTAAAAAAAGACACTCTGGCTTGTAAAGACTTTATTTCTGGATGTCTATAGTTTAACAAATACTTTTAAATACAAAATCAACAGATTAATACAGTCAATGTAAGATAAAGTGCTCAGTTATTTAAATCATAGTTTTCTGGAGAAAAATGCCATGGTGAAACCTTGAAAGATCCAACAGCACTCAGTTCAGTACATTCTCTAGTTATAATTTTCTGTAGATGCATGTTCAAAATATGAAGATTGCTTCCTGTGTCAGTGAAAATAAAAATTTCCAAACAGCTTTGCCTTTACTTAAAATTTCATGACTTTAATTTTGATGACCAACTGCTTTTTGTTTTAGATACTGAAAGCGGCAGTATTTTGAAAATGGAAGGCAACATTTTACTTCTAAAAAAACCATCACAAAATGGACTTTTCCTGTTTTCAGCCTGATCATTTATAGTTACACTTAAGACACCTGTTTTTTCAACTGTTGCTGTAAATATATTCTTTAACTTCTTAATTAAACATGTTGGTTTTATGTGTGACTTTTATCAGTTTCTTCCTTGGTAATTCTTTTTGGTCAGGGGAATAATGGACAGCAAGGCATTTTCTTAAACCTGTGACTTGGAATCCAAGAATATCTGAAAGAAATATTTTTTTAGTAGTAGGTGGGATCCAATCGTCCACATCATTTTCAAGGCACTCAACAGTAGGGCAGTGGTTGAAAGTCTCTGGTTGTGTTAAACTAGATACAACGGGACTTTTGGATTTCTGGCTAGGTGTTTTTACATTCTTTGGGCAGGTTGGGCTAGCTTGATGTTTGCCATTTTCAGGAGAAACTTTTGTGGCTTTATAGTTAGCATTAAGATTTGAATATAAGGAAGGCAACATTTTGAAAGTTCCCCTTAAGCCTTGAAATCTTTGGTGGAAGCCTGCAACTGGAGTTGACTGTGAACATGGAACAAAGTCTTGGCTTTCTTCAAAATCACATTCTGAGTCTGACTGAGACCTCGCTCTTGAAAATGTCGATGGTGATATGCTTTGCAAGGGTAGTTTTTGTGAAGGCCGACTGCAGTTCTCATTTATAGGATGATTTTCTGTGCAAGATGCTTCCAACCGTAACAAAACATCCTGTGACAGTTTGATTAGTTCTGTTCCAGTGTTCTTATCTTCAAAAAGATCAGCAGAAGCATTGTAGCTACCTTCCTGATCAAAGGAATAACTCTGTGTTAAGTTATTATTGGCAGGCCTGCAAGCTATTTCTTTCGATGTATTTGTACTTCTCGGACTATTGCAAAGGATTTCTAAGGGATATGTGAGTTTCCGGCATATTGTAAAAGTGTCATCTTGGCTCTCTGACAATCTACGATACTGTGTATTTTCTAATTTGTGACGATCAGAAAAATTTCCATATTTCTTAGAATACAAGTTTGTCAATTTTTCTTTTGTTCCTGAATACAATTTTTTTCCACATCCATTAAAACATTTGTTACTGAGATAAGAACAGTTACTTGTTGAGGTACTGGGCCTGAGTGAGATTTCATTCCTTTGCTGTAAGATCCCAGTAGTCTTCTTTTGGGTAACCTCTATACCTTTTGAAGACGTAAACAGAGCTGATAAGCAAGTATTTGGTAAGAAATACTCGGAGGTATCATTTCTATTACTGCCTTTGATGACAGCCTCTGTTGTCAGGTCTGGTTTTGATTCTTTTTGAATTTGAGGACTTTGATTAGACTCACAGTTAGAAAACAAGGTCTCTTTCCTGGAGTTTTCATTCATCATTGTTTGTGATGATTTTAAGCCTAAAGGTAGTGTATTTAAAGCTATAGCATTTCTCCACGGAGTCACTGATAACCTGCTGTAGTTTGTGTGAAATTTATCAATGTCATCTATACCCTGTTTTCTATCCTTAGTGCCTGTCTCATTTATAGCAATCTCACTTTCAACAACTGCTAGAAACTTGTTCAGGCTTTCAGAGAATGGCAGATCATCCCAAATCAAGGAGTCACAGTTCTGGGAAGCAATCACTGTTTCTTCAGGTTTGAGTGATGACAATGAAAATTCGTATCTGTCCTGAAGGACAGTGGCAGTATTTATTTCACAGTGTTGGTAACATGGGAGATCATATTGGGAACAATCATTTTTTTCTTCTTTACTGCATTCTGCATTATCATTCTCAAAGGGTTCTTGCATTTGCGAAGCAAATAAATCAGAGTCAGACAGTCTAGTTTCATGACAACTGCTGTAAACTGGACTCAGATGATTAGCTTGTAAACCAAATTCTTCATTCAACTTTCCTGTTGTGTTATTCTTGTCCATAGAAGAAACAAGGCTCCGTGAACTCTGAAGGAGATCATGGCAGTTCTTAGAACCAGTGACCTCTGGAAAGATGTGCTGTCTGTTTTGGTTAGGAGTACCATTGGCCATGATTTGTTCTGAAGTTGGAACATCATCATTAGCTGTTAGTTGTGAATCAGTAGAAGTCAGTTCAAGAGATGGCTGCCAGCATCTGAAAAAATCATCTCTGCTACAGGACTCCAGAAAACAGGATGTTTCCCCAGGGCCCTGTATGCTGCTAAGATCACTGTCTGAGTGATCTAAAGTGAATGAGTGGCTGCTATGTTCCTGAGAGCCACAGTTATGTTTCTTGAAATTGAAACTGTGCAAAAGATGGTTTAAGTAGTCAATGACAGTAAAGCCTGCAACATGCGGGACAGGAAGAACAATCTGGGAAGCCACTAGTGTCCTGTCTTCTTTGTGCTTACAGCACGGTTGCAAATAGTTATTAGAATCTGAGTCATGTCCACATACATCTCCAAAATTCTATGAAAAAAGTAAATGAATTTAAATAGGTTTTTCTTATCTTGAGGAGGACACAGAAATTAAAGGTTAAGGGAGAGATGATAATAACCCCTTTAACTCCAATCCTTTAATATTACTGAACGAATAGCACATATCAAAGACTATGGACTTAGGCACAGGCTTATCTTCAAATCCTTGTTTCAGCAGTTACTTGGCTGCTGGTTGGGGTCCTAGATAAGTTATTTAACTCCTCTGTGCCTTATTTTTCTCATTTATGAAAAAAAGATTATTGATTAACTATAACACAATTGTACAATACTTAGCAAACAGTAGCTATTCTATAAATGGTACTAGTATGTTTGTGAAAGAAAGAATAGAAAAACTAAATTATTAAATATTTTAACAAAATAAAGTTTCTTAGCTCTTGATTTATCCCTGTCCTTGGGTTTTCCGTAGTGCTCATTTGATAGTGCTATATTCTCTATACTACATCTGTTAAGACTGTACTCAAATTTCCACATGTTCTTTTTAGTTTAGATTAGTTCATTACTACACCTTTAAAGTCAGTATATTTTAAGACTTCCTACTGTTATGATATTTAAAGAACATTCTTTTTAATCTATTCGTTTTGAGACAGGGTCTTATGTAAACATGGAACTTGCTATATAGACCAGGCTGGCTTTGAACTCAAAGATCCATCTAACTGCCTCCCGAGTACTGGGATTAAAGGTGTGTACCACCATAACAGGCTTTAATATATTTTTAATGAATATTCAGATATTTACCTTTAAGGTTGTTTCTCTCCTTTTATAGAAGACACAGATATTTACTATGAAATTTGTACAGAACTTAAGAGTAAAAGAAAAATAACCTTTCAAAAACAAATATCTAATACTTTTTCCAGTTCATAATAAGTTCCCCCCTCTTAAAGCTCTGAAAACATTGAATCAGGCTTCTTTGTCTTTTGAAATAGGGAGTTGTAACCTACAATGTTTAAATAGGGCTTATGCAAGCTATCTTTATAGTTTCAAGTGCTTCTACAAGCTTTACTATCTATGTAACTTCTAAAAACAGCTTGAGAAATTAAAATCATTTCATTACAATGGGAATCTCAAGAGGACATTCAAAAGAAAGATGCTTTAATTACCGTCACTCCAAACACAAAGCTTTGTCCAACAAAACAATTTTCTACTGCAGTGGTCAATAAGCTCTGCGTTCTAGCACTGTTCAGGGTTTCTGGGATTTTACTAGAATCCTCAAGGTACCTTGAAAGAAAATAAAGTGATGAACTTTGAAATTTTTACCTTCCAGTAAAAAATAGAAAACACAATTATTTTAAAATGAACCTTCTCAGTTACATACAGAGGAAAAAAAAATATCACCTTGGCATTTGGTGATATTCAACACAACACAAAAGGAAGATTTAAAGTACCCAAGCCCAACTTCTCAAATATGAGCAGATGCCTGCAATGTCTGGGAAAGAAGCTGAGGGGTAGACTAGTATCTGCAAAGTTTGCCCTTAGTTCAGTCTTTAGCTCTGTAAGGGGGGAAAAAGTAGATGCTTACTTAATCTTCAGAGCCTACAATGTACCAAGGAAAGTAAAAGCTGCAGTGGTAGTAGGGGTCTTTTCTCTTTCCTTGCAATTCTAGATGTGGTCCTTCTAGTGTCCCTTTCCTTCATATGAGTGTGCCCTAAGGCACAACGATATGAGCACGTGTCTTCTGAAAATGACGGGGTGAAGAGGGAATAAGGTTGACAATGAGAAAATACTTTACTTATATGGATCCCTAAAGTCTCAAGGCTGTTGTCTTATTAGGTCAAACTCAAGGGTATGAATCTGCAAACTGAGTGACTAACCTGGATTACGTTTTATATTTTAATTACAGAATAGTTACCCCAAGCTTAAAACATGATTATGTATTTTTGAGACATTTTCCTTTTCAGCAGATATCTTTTAAGGAAACTTATAGCCTGAAATAGAGGGTTTCTTTTTAGTAATGCCAAATACCTTCAATACATGTATTTTCAAATTCTATTAGCATGCTAGAAGAACAGTCAGGTAAAAGAATGCTTTAGCGATTCTTACCTGTGTAAACCATTGGCAGTAAGTCCAAAAAATGTATCTAAGCAGCTCCCAAATACAGTAATGACAAATAATTTGTTGGACTCTGCCACTTTTACGCAAAGTTTGTATCTGTAACTGGCACTTTTAGCTTCACCAGTAGAGCCACACTTGGGACAAGTAAACCTAGAGAAGTTGGAGAGAAAGCAGAGAGTTGTCCAAATTTAGGATAGTAGTATACAAACATTCCTGGTAAATTAAATTCTTCTTAAACTCTTTATGATCAACAACCTTTTTGTCTCCCTCCTGAGACAGAGTGTTATGTGACATAACTGGCCCCCAGTGTTAAGTAGTAGGGTCGGCTTTGCACTCTTGAGGTCCTTTACCCCTCCCTCCAGGAGGATGGGACTACAGTCATGTACTATACCTAGTCTGATAAGCTTCTTTATAGATTTAAGTAGTACCAAACTGAAAGAAACATATAACAAACTGCTAAAAAAAAAAGTCTTGAAATAGTCATACACCAATAATTCACTTGTATTTTTCTTAACAACCTGAAAATTATTAGTTTTTTTAAGATTTACTCTTCACAGTGTATGTGTCTGTACCTGTACATGGGAATGTGATGCAGGTGCCCTCTGAGAGAAGTATTGGATACATTGGGGACAGAGTAATGATCTCTCCAACCCCTAAAATTTATTTTAATTAATTCATCAGGATATGTTAAGAATACTGGATTATAAAAACTAGATAGCAAAGGTATTCAACTTAACTTGTTTACAAGAGAGTTTACAATTATAGCCAAAGGGTAGTTAGAAATACACATCCAGTGCAGATCTCGTGTCATATACTGCTTGGTCTTGGAATAGTTACTAGATGCCTGAAATCGGAAGGACCTTGTCTGTAAAATCCAACACAGAGGAAAGACAGAACAAGACAAATTTAATGAATACTTTGGTATAGCTCTCATCAAACTAACGTATTAGTCTGCTTCTTAATGCAGTGATTATTATAACTTCTACTTATTTGTATCTTCCTCAAGAATATCCTGGCCATGTTTATGAAAGGTAAATTCTTTATCTCTGAGCTATAGGCCCAGGTGGTATTGTCCTGCTCTAGTCTGCATTATCTTATAATTGCCATCTTTATTTTTTATGGTCTGCAAAACTGACCCTTTAAAACACTGTAAAATAACAAGGATTTTATTTTTCCATGTTAATATTTTGGCTTAAAGAGTGGCAAACCAGAAAGAGAAACCAATGTTAATGATGGCCAATAATTTGATTGCTGCCAGGCGCTATTATTATTATTATAGGTATTAGTCTATACTCTTTAGCTCTTGAAATAATTCTAACACTATCATGAAATAATTCAACACTATCATAGATCTGTGGTAATTATTACTATTTTTTAACTCTGAAATGAATCTGCATGAGTCCGTATAATAACATTTAAAACTTCTATAGTCTGTGCTACAATATGTCTATAGAATAAAGTAAACTGACTCATTAGAATATAAACCCATTTTTATTATTGTCAAGGTATCAAGTGAATTGTTTGAAATACATATAATTTTTAAGAATTTTAAAGTAACAATGCATTCATGTATAAAATAAAATTCTTATAAAATTTTAAAATAACTAATATGCATGAATTATTGCATTTATGAAAAGTTTCTCACATACATGATTTCATTCTGTTTATCCTCTTAACAAATGGGGAAATTGGTTTGAATTTTTTGCCCAAGGTGGCAGTGAATTTTTTTTTAAATAGGATAAAACAGTTTATTGTTGAATCTATTTTTAAACTAAAGAGCATCAAAAAGCCAAATTTTTTACATTGGTATAGATTTTTGTATGTTGATACAAATTTAAGGTTATTCTTGCTATAGTATACTGTTTATTTGTTTCAACTCCTGTCTAGGTGATGTACCTATAGAACTCATTTAAAAATGTAATGTGGCATTCTACAAACTTTAGGATAATTAGGTAATTCATGTTAGTAGTCAGTAAATAAAATTTGTTGTCTTACTGGTCTTTTTTAATTAAATTTTTATATTAATTACAATTTATTTACTTTGTATCCCAGCTGTAGCCCACTCCCTCACTACCTCCCAAACCCTCCCTCCCTCCCTCATCCTCCCTGCCCCTCTGTAAGTCCACTGATAGGGAAGGTCCTCCTCCCCTCCATCTGCCCCTAGTCTATCAGGTCTCATCCTTTGTGTCCTCCTTTGTGGCCTAGCAAGGCTGCTCCTCCCTCGTGTGTGTGTGGGGGTAATGGGAGGTCAAAGAACCAGCCACTGAGTTCATGTCAGAGACAGTCCTGTTCCCCTTACTAGGGAAACCCACTTGCATACTTAGAGGTGGCAATGAATTTTGATTCAAATCTGAACCTTTGGTTTCCTATCCTGAAGTTCTTAATTTTCTTTTTCTTATCATAACTATGAAAGAAAACATGATAGCATAGCAATAATAGCTTGACAAAACCCAGGCCTATTTGTTTTACTGGATGTGTATACTACATGACATATACATGTATAAGACAAATATATAGTTCTTAATCTTTTAGGAAAAAAGTTCTATTGAAATAAGTGTTAATGTGATATATAATACAGATTAGCACCTCTCAAACTTTAATAGTATACCAATTCCTGAGGATCCTGTTAAAATTAAACTTCTGATTCTCTAAGTCTGGGACAAGACTCAAAATTCTGTATTTGTAATAAGCTCCCATGTGAAATTGATGGAAAACCCAGGGCACAGATAATACATTCAAAGCAAAGACCCCTGATTTAAATTTTAGAGATATTCTCAGATAGGCTGAGCTGTATGGACTCTCAGACAAACTGATCTACCTGGAAAAGACATTCTCCAATCTATTGAGCCACCTGAGGTTGTGCAGTATGCTCCTGGTTTCCAGCTATCAGGGGCAGCCTCACCCATGTTCCTCTAGGTGCCCAGGAAAACTCATTGGCTCACCAAGCTGGACTTTGGTGGTGTCCTTAACTTTGGTCTGTTGTCAGTTCCCTATGTGGGGTGAGTAGACATTTGTTCAGGTTTCCCCAGGAATAACAGTGCCTTACAAAAGCCATGATTCTCAGTTTCAGTCAGGCAAAGAAACATATGTGTGTGAGACAGATCTTTAGACTAAAGGAACTATTTATTTGTCCTATTAAGTTACTCAGGAGATAATTTTCATGTCTGACTTGGGTATATTTATCATATATAGTATAAACAGCCTATAGGGATAAAGCTTATTTATATTTTTTGGCACAATATACATTACATATGTTATGCTAAGAGTGCATGAACACACTTGGTAGTAAAGTCCTTATATAAAGGACTTAATTAACTTCTATATCAATGTCTTTTTGCTTTATTATAGAACTCTTCCAACTGAAATCTAACTTAGATTCCTAATATAGGAATGAGAATGCTGAAACTAAGGTAAGGTCTTCAGAGAACTACCTACTATTACACTTAGAGATATATTAATCTCTCTCCAGAAGTGCTTCCATGATGTCATAAGACTCTGAAAAATATAGTTTGTGTGTTTGTGTATGTGGGTGTGTCTGCAGAGGCTAGAGGTTGATGCTGGCTATCTTCCTCTACTGCTCCCTAATTTAAGTCCTTGGAAGTGCAGGGCCTGTCACTTGTCCAGTGGACCACACCAGAGATATATTTGACCCTACAGCCATCGGGATGAGCATCTTCTCAGCTACCATGCCTTCAAACTCATTTGCATTAAATTTGGTGAAGCCCCACTTCTTTGAGATGTGGATCTTTTGGTGGCCAGGGAACTTGATCTTGGTTCCATTCAGGGCCTCAATCACATGTTCCTTATTCTGCAGGTTGCTGTGGATGTACATGATGACCTGGTGGTGTAAAACCTAGCCACTGTGGCCTGCAGCTTCCTAAACATACCTGTCTGGAGGCTAGACTGAGACAGTATTAAGATAAGAGACATGACTATCAGTGCTTTCAAGGTCCTTTAGGTAAACTCACATAGGCAACAGGCTGCATTATACCCCAAGGTCGTTGCTGTTTAAAGCCACTGCAAACCAGACCTCTAAAAGGAACACCTTATTTTGATTTGAGATAAACGTCTTTCATTGAATCTGGAACTCACTGATCAGCAATACTACCTGCCAACAAGCTCCAGACATCCTGCTTGGTACTACAGGCATAAAACTGCTTTATAAAAAACATCCGGACTGGTACTACAGGCATAAAACTGCTTTATAAAAAACACTGTGTGGGGTTCTGAACTCTGGTCCTCATGCTTTCACAGCAAACACTTCACTGAGTCATTGTCTTAGCCTTCAGATATACTTTAAATATCTCCGCTCCTTAATCTGGGAGGTTAAAAAAGAAGCTGTCTCTACAAGATACAAAACATCTACTTTGGCTGTCATTGCTAAGGATTTGGGGGGTGAAATAGGATTTGCAAAGGCTAAGGTGGGGGAAATCATCATAAACTTAGTGGCTAAAGAAGTGGGTCATGAAAGAAGATTTTCAGTTTTCCGTGTTGGCCGATTTCTAGTAAGAAAAAAGGAAAGGAAAGCAGAAGTGAAAACAGAAAAGGTTAAGCACCATACTTCAGTTTTAAGGAATTGTCAGTATAATATGATTAGGCACAGGTTACCTTCCAGTGGGGTAACTTTCCACAGGAAAGCACCATGTGCTTTACGCATCTAAACAATTCAGCCAGAGCTTTTTTCCTAGGGGATCTTAAGTAGGAATCTGAATATAAACTGCACTGTCAGTTCAGAGGCAACATGGTGAGCATGAATGTAGACCACAGTCGCACTGTTTAGCCTTGAATGTTTATGCCTCTAACTAGATGGGTGTGTGATTGGGGCAAATCACTTCACTTATCTCCAAATTTGGTTATCAACAATAGCACCCATTTCATAAAAATCTCTTCTATTAAAGGGGTACAATGTCTGCAAAGCTCCTAGTATCATGGCTAGCACGCAATAAATACAAATCGTATATATTAGTAATGTTAGTTTAAAGAGCTAACTGTGGTATTATTATCCAACCCAGACTTTTGTGAGAAATCATCAAGATAATCCTTTGTCTGTTTGGGTTTGGTGATACAGGTTCATGGTCCTAGATTTTTGAGAAGCAGAGTCAAGAGGATCACAAGTTCAAGCCAGTTGCTTATTTAGCGATACATTCTTTCTTATTTGGAAAAGACCACAAATCTTTAAAATATTCTACATCTATGGTAATAATTATATATATTATGCAAATGTTCTAAGTATGTTATGTAAATTAACTAACCCTATCCAAATAAAAATTCTAAGAGGTAGATGTTTTTCTCCAGTTTTAGGCCCAAGTTACATAGTGATTTATGCAGGACCATACAGCTATATAACTGAGAGGGTTGGGGATGATATGGTGGTTAATGTTTATAATCTCCCCACTTGGGATGCTTAGACAGAAGGACCACTACAAGTTTGAGGTTAGTTTGTGATATACAGTGAGTTTCAAGCCAACCTGGGTCAGAGAGTGAGACCTTGTCTCAATCCCCTGCCATAAAAAACAACAACAAAAAACCGGCTGGGGTAATATTAAACTCAGATATTCTGGCTTCACAAATAATGCTGTTGACTATCATTGCATACACTCAATAGGAAAAGTATACTTGTAAAAGATTTTTCGTAAAAATAGGTGCCATTTTAGAAATCCTCATATATGTCACGCATTGTACAAGATTTCTGAGCATTATCTTTATAGTTATTCCACACTGTAGGGATTATTCCACTTTACAAATAAGTAATTCGAATCACAGAATCTATATCTCTTGCCCTATGTTATACAGTTAATAGATGCTAGGACCAATGTGCAATCCTATTCAGCAGGAACACCAAACATTCCATATTAAGAACGATTCCTGATTCCTCCCCATAACCTATTCAATTCTAACTTGAGAAGTGACTAATAATAGTTATTAGCTTACTACTTCTATTTACATACTACTAGGCATTAGTAACATCCCTTTTTTTAAAGATTTATTTATTTATTTATACAGAGTTCTTCCTGTGTGTGTGCCTGTGCACCAGATCTCACTACAGATGGTTGTGAGCCACTATGTGGTTGCTGGGAATTGAACTCAGGACCTTTAGGTTAAGGCTGAACTGTGTTCAGCCAGTGTTCTTAACCTCTGAGCCATCTTTCCAGCCCTAGTAACATCTTTATCTTATGTATACACAAAGTTGTCAAATAACTCCAATCCTAACTTTTCACTTCTACTCTACAAATAGGTGGTATATCTTGGGCACTCAACTAACTATACATGGCAACAGTGGTATCATGATATTCAGATATAGCCAAACATTGTAGTTGTTGAACAACAGATGATTAGGTTTCAGACCCAGGACAATTGGCTGAGGTGCCTATTTAACATATAAAAGTGGACCTGGCCTCTGGTTTCTCCCAGCATCCCTCAGTCCCTACCTGTTACAGTGCATGGCTGGCATACCTCTCCCCAAGAGGCTCTTCACTATATAACCCAGCCATTTTGTTTTTCTGTCTCTTCTCTCCCTGCCCCCCTCCTTTTGTCTCCCTCTGAATGGTGACTTCCCTGGCCCCTTTCCTTGGGACTGGTGAACCCGCCTGAAAGCTGCCCTCAATAAACTTGCCTTTATATTTTAATTTGGCTTGAATTGGCTCATTTCATCAGTGGAGAATTACCTATTATAGATTACTAGAATTTGAGCATATTTGACCTGAAATTCTGAACTTCAGAGTACTTGTAAAAGTTTCTGAGTACTGACATGACTTAAAAAGTTGTAGACTTGGAAACCAGGGTTACCATGCCAAAACTCTGAATTCCAGACCAGTCTGGGCTGCAGAGACCCAATCACTAACAAACTTACATCCATCTTGGAGCATATGTATTTCAGGTTTAGCTCAAGGATGCTCAACCAACAAAGTCTATGCAAATAGTCTTAAATCTCCAAAGTTCTAAAATCTAAAACACGTTGGGATCCAGGCATTTTATATAAGTAATAGTAAGCACAGGGCCAGCTAATAAGTTTACTTACATATATTAAAAAAATAAGTGAGGACCATGAAAAAACAAACTCCCACTAGAAACTGGGTTACTGCCCAGTCCTACTGTAGAATTGTCAGAAGAACAAACCCTGAGAACTCGTGAGAGCCTCTGGTGTTCTGGTACAGTGAATTTAGTGTGCATTTGCCCCCACGTCAGAAAGTATCTACACTGAATTTCCCCTCATATTCTTACCTTTTGGAGTCAAGGACTACCCGAGAGAAGCACCTTTGACATGATGGATATATAAAACTTGAATTCTGGAGAGCAAGTACAGAGGCAAAAAGGAATTTCCGTCTTTTGTTCATGTGTCTATACTTTGTCCTACAAAAGAAAACAAGCATGACGGTCATCAATGCAAATGTTAACTCACACATAGTTATTCTTATGATAACTAATCAATCATTATTATCTTTTGTTTCATTATCAAAATAAAGAGAGTAAGTTTCAGTATACTGGCTTTTTTCTTTTTCTTTTGTACTGGGGGATTAAATCTGAGGATACATACATGGTAATCAAGTACCCTATTGTTACATCCCAAGCCCTGTGAGGATATACTGAAAAACTACCTTTTTTTTTTTTTTTTTTTTTTGCTATTTAATTATTAAAAGAATTAAAAGAAAAATTGAAGAACTTCTGAATAAGTAGTCTCTTCTAGTAATTCAGGGAGAAATCACTTAGCTGGTTCACATTTTTTTTTTTAATATAAAAGATAGAAGTTGTGTTTACAGTTTTAATAGGTAAGATAGTCCATGAACTAACTTCTTTCTTCCTCCTCCCTGTGGTTTTGAGAGTTCTCTCTATTTTGTTCAGGCTGGTCTTGAATTCATGGTGCAGGCCCTGCGCATGCTCTCAGTCTGTGATTTTCCCCACCAGACCTAAAAAGTAAAACTCTGCAGACACAGTTAAATATATAGACCATTTATCTATATTCTGAAAAAGAGTGATATGCTTGTTCTGAGACCCTTTTAGGTATACATAATTAGGTTACAATGATTTATCAAATTCATCCAGATAGTCCTTGATTTACTTGCCACTTGGAAATGTTTTTTTTTTTAAATTAATTTTTAGTGCATTGGTATTTTGCCACCTCTCCAGCCCCCTATTCTTATTGTATTGCCTTTCCTTGGTATTTATGGGAGAGTAATTTTAAAAAGAACACAGAAAGGTATTGTTTCTTGCCTCCTGTCTTACTGAATGTTTCACATTTCTTTGCTGCTTTCCATTTATTCCTTTCTTTCAAATGTTATTTTACTTCCTAGGCTAATGCTTATTCTATAAGATTATTCTTCAGGTCTTCTCCAGGAAGCATGCCTAAGCCAAGTGACCCTACTTGTCTTACCTACCACTTACTCCATCACAGGAAAGTAATGAGAGAGCCTGGCTAAATAAGCCTGCTCAACTCCATGAGAGGCTTCATTTTCTTGCTAGACAAAACAGGCCTAAGAGTTACAGGGGAAACACACACACACACACACACACACACACACACACACACACACACACACCCCGGAAAAGGCAACCAATTAGAAACAGCTAACAGCTGGCCTGGGGAAGATAAGGTTGCATAACTACCAGTTTGAAACAGGCTGGTGGATCAATGGAATAGAAGACCCAGAAATAAACCCACACACTTGTGGACACCTGATTTTTGACAATGATGCCAAAACCATACAATGGAAAAAAGCATATTCAACAAATGGTGCTGGTCTAATTGGATATCTACATGTAGAAAAATGCAAGTGTCACCCTGCACAAAACTAAAGTTCAAGTGGATCAAAGACCTCAACATAAAACCAGACACACTAAATTGGTTAGAAGAAAAAGTGGGGAAGAGCCTAGAACTCATTGACACAGGAGACAACTTCCTGAACAGAACACCAACAGCACAGGCTCTTAAGAGCAACAATCATAAAACTGAAAAGCTTCTGTAAAGCAAAGGATACTGTCCTCAGAAAACGACAGCCTACAGACTGGAAAGGATCTTCACCAACCCTATATCTGACAGAGGGCTACTATCCAGAATATATAAAGAACCTAAGAAGTTAAATACCAACAAATCAAGTAATCCAATTAAAAAACAGGGTACAGAGCTAAACAGAGAATTCTCAATAGAGGAATATCAAATGGCAGAGAAACATTTAAAGAAACGCTCAATGTCATTAGCCATCAGGGAAATGCAAATCAAAACAACCCTGAGATTTCACCTTACACCCACCAGAATGGCTAAAATAAAAAACTCAACTGACAACACATGCTGGAGAGGTTGTGGAGAAAGGGGAACCCTCCTCCATTGCTGGTGGGAATGTAAACTTGTACAACCACTTTGGAAATCAATATGGCACTTTCTCAGACAATAGGAGTGGTGCTTCTTCAAGATCCAGCCATACCAGTCCTAGGCATATATCCAAAAGATGCTCAAGTATACAACAAGGAAATTTGCTCAAACATTTCGTAGCAGCTGTCTTCATAATAGCCAGAATCTGGAAACAATCCAGATGTCCCTCAACTATTTGAGGAATGGATACAGAAATTGTGGTACATTTACACAATGGAATACTACTCAGCAATTAAAAACAAGGAAATCATGAAATTTGCAGGCAAATGGTGGGAACTAGAAAAGATCATCCTGAGTGAGGTATCTCAGAAGCAGAAAGACACACACAGTATATACCACCTATAAGTGGATATAAGACATATAGAATAATCATACTAAAATCTGTACATCTGAAGAAGCTAAGCAAGAATGAGGACCCTGGGTAAAATGCTCAATCTTTACTCAGAAAGGCAAATGAGAGAGACATTGGAAGAAGGTGAAAACAAGGAACAAGACAGATACTTACCACAGAGTGCCTCTGAAAGACTCTACCCAGCAGGGTCTTAAAGCAGAAGCAGAGACTCACAGCCAAACTTTGGGGCAGAGTACAGGGACTTATGAAAGAAGGTGGAGATAGAAAGACCTGGAAGGGTCTGGAGCTCTATAAGGAAACAACAGAGAAAAAAAAAAAAAAAAATCTGGGCCAAGGGGGTCTTTTCTGAGACTGATACTCCAACTAAGGACCATGCATGGAGATAACCTAGACAGCCTGCACAGAGGTAGCCTGTGGCAGCTCAGTCTCCAGGCGGACTCCCAAGTAAGGGGAACAGTGACTGGCTCTTTGATCACCTCCCCCTAAGGGGGGAGCTGCCTTACCAGACCACAAAGGAAGACTATAAAAGATAGTCCCGATGAGACCTAATATGCTAGGGTCAGATGAAAGGGGGAGAGGTCCTCCCCTATCAGTGGACTGGGGGAGGGGCATGGGAGGAGATGAGGGAGGGCGGGGTTAGGAGGGGATGCAGGTGGGGCTACAGCTGGGAGACAAAGTGAATAAATTGTAATAAATAAAAAAATACATAAACTCAGGTAGCCTCCACAGGCACTAGCCAATCCCAATTGAGGTCACATAGCCACAGCAGGAATTCCCCTTTCTAACTTAAAAAGGGTCCTTCAATCTCCCCTGGGTCACCGCCATGTTGTAAAGGTGATGACCCCACATGCTAGATTTCTGCACAAATAAAAGCTCTTTGCTTTTACATACTACTTGAATCTGGGTCTTCACCATCCAGATCCTAACAGTAGCCAGTTCCATATATCACTTTAGAACCACAGTAAGATCTTGGAAGGATTATCTCTTTATATTTCTATTGTATAGCTCAATAACTGCCAATCCTAGCACTAGGGCTACACACCTGCCCACAACCAAGCCCCGATTTTACAAAGGTTTTAGAGATCTGCACTTAGATCCTCAACCTTGCACAACAAGCACTGATACTTAACTAAGCTATCTCCCTAGACCTCTGGTTTTAAAATTGGGACCATATTGTGAACCAATCTTTATGAGGCCTGACAAGGAATTCTACATTCCACGTGGACATTCAAAAATATTCTTTACGCAGTATGGGTGGCACCAACCCTGGCAGGCAGGCCAATGCTGTTTAAGTAGCTAAGCACCAGGCAGTGCTGATGCACACTTTTAAAACAGAGCACTTGGGAGGCAGCGGAAAGTGGACCTCTGTACATCTGAGGACAGCATGGTCTACAGAGTTCCAGGACAGGCAGGGATACAGAAAACCCTGTTTCTACAAACCAAAGGAAAGAAAAGAACACACATATAATGGCCCCCTCACAAAAAAAAAAAAAAAAAAAGAGGAGTTGATTGAATGTGGGCCTGAGAGCCAAATAACAAGCAAATAGTAAGCAGTGTTTCTCCACGGTCTGTTTCAGTTCCTGCCTCGGCCTCTCTCTGTGATGAACTGTAACCTGTGAGCCACATAAACCTTTTTCTTTCCCTTTTCAAAAAATTATTAATTTTACTACATAGAAACTCTAGATGGATCGATCTGTAATGTAACAGACACTATGCTGTATTGTGGGTACATATATATATATTTTTTTCCTCAAGTACTAGAGGATTGAACCCTAGACTTCTTATGTACTAGGCAAACACTTGTCCATCAAGCTACTTTTTCAACTTCTTTTTGATAGAGGGTCTCATGTGTCCTAACACTGGGCTAAAATTTGTGATCCTCCTGAATCAGCCTCCAAGTAGGTGGGATTACTGATCTGTGCCAACAGGCCTGTCTAGATAATATGACTCACCAATACAAGAAAACTTAATGTAAGCATGACACTTGGAACTGATTTTTAAATTATGCAATCACGAACTGCTACATTTTAAAAAGGTTGTTACCTTTTATTTAAGGGTTTACTGCCCTCTAGTGGAGCAAATATATATGTTAAAAACAAACACCTCCCCTCCTCCCATTACTTACAGGTATATTTAAGAATTGAAATGGAAGAGGTCAGTTCATATTTTTAACTGCTGTTTCTTTTTATCTGGCAAGCCCAAATGGTAGAAAGACACTTCATTCATCTAACAAATAAGGTAAGGTCCTTTTAAGCACAGAAGAGTTTGTTTTTCTCTTTGTTTTCATAACCTGTTTCCTTCATGATAAATGTCGTCTCTCTTATATCTCTGTTGTTTTACATGGATTACGGTGAATGCATGTTTGAAGCACCAGGACTGAATAAGTACTAAAATTAAGAAAACATAGATCCTCATAGTAAGGGGAACAGGGACTATTTCTGACAGGAACTCAAGGGCAGGCTCTTTGACCTTCCCACCCAAGGGAGGAGCAGTCCTGCTGGTCACAGAGGAGGACTTTGCAGCCAGTCCTGAAGATACCTGATAAAACAGGGCCAGACGAAAGGGGAGGAGGTCCTCCCCAATACGTGGACTTGGAAAGGGGCAGGTAGGAGCTGAGGGATTGGGAGGGAATAAGGGAGTGGGATACAGAGTTAATAAAATATAACTAATAATAGTAATAATAATAAAAAAGAAAACATAGATCCTAGAACAACTTCATATTTGGCTTGCCTTGTAATTTTTGATTCTATTATGTTGGGAAAGATGATGGCATATTATTACTTTTTTTAAGCTCCATCAGTCAACAAAACATGTTCCAACTTAATAGTTCAATATATTTACTTACCTTAATATATTGCATAGTTCCTAAATGCCAATTGTTGCTGTACACAAATTAGGGATAAAAAGACCCAGTTCTTTTCTAGTCACTAGATTTATGTTCTACTATTAAGAGATGACAAAAAATGATGAAGATAAACAAAACAAAATTCTGTTGACAAATTATGTACGTGAAATACAAATAATACGATGAGAAAACGTAAGGGGATTGATCAGCTTTTTGCTTGGAGGAGGGGTAGAGTGAGGAGAGAGATAGAGGTAGGATAATTTTTGCTTATCAAAAGTATTTTCTGAGCTGGCCGTGCTAGTGGACACCTTTACCTTTAATCTCAGCACTCAGGGAGACAGAGGCAGACAGATTTCTGAGCGTTCAAGGCCAGCATGGACTACAAAGCAAGTTCCAAGACAGAGGGGTTATAACATAGAAAAACCCTGTGAAGGCCATACCATGTCTTAGGACTGTAGTTCTGCCTGTTTTCTAAATGACTGTCTAAATATTTACTAAACTCACCAACTTTGCTCAACCTAAAGTTCTCTTCTGAGGCAAAGTCAAGGATCAGTTTTAGTTGATGGAGGAGGTCCCTAAGGAAGAAGGGAGCTCCCCAAGCTGTTGGTGGATATGCACAAAAGACAGAAAAAAAAATTTAGAGCACAAGGTGAAATATTGCTGAAAACTACTGTTAAAACGTTAACCAGGATATACAACACTGCTTTTCTATTTTTGGTAGCATTTCTGGAATATTTTAACAAAGAACAAGAAGTGAGCATCTGAGGTAGAACGAAACAAAATAAAATAGGACTTTAAAGAAGTCCTGTTTAAAGAACAAGAAGTTATTTGTGGTCTAGGCAGATAATGTGTTTTATTCATCAACGTGTATCAATAAAACAATGAAAAGGGTTCTATAATGCAACTTCTTACCCAAGAGCCAATTTTATTTGGAAGTCTCACAAATTCAAAATTTAATAATTAACAAAAATTGAATCATTTTCAGTCTTTTTTTGCCACAAAATCTTCTCAATTTTAATAACTAGTAATTCTTCTAACTAACCATACAGCCAGAGACCTAAGACTCCTCCCTCCCTCCCTTCACATGCCACATAGGTGCTACCATTTTTATTTTATTTTTTTTTGTTTTTGAGATAGGGTCTCTCTATGTAGTTCTGGCTATCTTAACTTACTAGCTGGCCTTGAACTCACAAAGATGTGCCTTTCTCTGCCTCTTGCTTGGCATATTTTTTCTAATCTTTATTCTCTCATACCATATATTTTGATATCCTCTCCCTTCTCCCACCTTCTTACCCATCCAACTTCAAGTTCTTCCACACACCCCCGCAAAAAACAAAACAAAACAAAACAACCCAAAGCTGGATGTGGTGGTTTATGCCTTTAATCACACACTTGGGAGGCAGAGGCTCTGTGAGTTTGAGGCTATCCTGGCCTACATAGGAAGTAACAGGCCAGCCAAGGATACATAATGAGGCTCTGTCTCAAAAAAACCAAAGTATTATATCTAGATGACCAAGACTCCTCCCTTTACAAGCCATGTCATGTTCACCAACTTAATACCAATTTCTTTAGATAGGACTTTCCAAACCCATGTTTATCTAACCCCCTTTTACAGACACGATTTTCCGCTGTAGCCCTTAACTCTCTTTGTAGGGCAGGCTGGCTTCAAACTAGAGATTCTCATGACTCGGCCTCCTGAGTGCTAGAATGTAGGTCACCACACTCAATTTTGCTGTTTGTTAACTCTATCCAAAATAGGAACGTACCCTCACGACAGCAATTTCTCTTATTAATTGACATCATTCAACATCGGGCTGTTCTTGACATAATGGGAGACACTTACAAATGTATCTGAAGAATGGATAAAAAAACTACAGAGTGCTCTGTGCTCTGGTTTTGAAAGGTCAGAAAATGCTTAAGATCTAAGATGCTTTTAAAAAGGCTTTGGAGCTGGGCGTGGTGGTGCACGCCTTTAATCCCAGCACTCAGGGAGGCAGAGGAATAACTGAGTTCGAGAGGCCAGCCTAGACTACAAAGTAAGTCCCAGGGGACAGCCAAGCTACACAGAGAAACCCTGTCTCCAAAAAAGAAAAGAAAACAAAAAAGGCTTTGAAGCCAGGCTTGGAATCACATACCTATAAATCTAGTACTTGGGACACAGAGGCTGGATGATCAGGAGTTCAAGGATAGCCTTGGTTATGAAACCATGTTACCCTAACTCAAAAAAAAAAAAAAAAAAAAAGGTTTTGTAAACTAAGAAATAACAAGAGTCAGAACTAGCCTGGGGTGTGGATGGAATCAAAACAAGTTTGGGAGGTTGAGGAACACAAAAATTACAGTGGGGTTGGGAAAAATTAAGTATGATAAGAACAGAGTCTGTGAGATATCGTAGGTTTGATCTCCCACACTGAGAGGTGTGTGTATGTGTCAGTATGGCAAGGTCTAGGCTGAATTTGGAAAGGCAGAGAAGGCAAAAGAGCCTCTAACTCTAAGTAAAGGATTTTGGACTTAAACCATCCGGGCAAAAAGAAACAGCTAAAACAATTTAAAGGCGGAGTACCTTGGCCAAATTTTTCACCTATCTGCCTGGTCATATGGAGAATGGATAAGCAGGGGGAAACGCTGAAAGGTTATTCTCACAGTCGTGAAAGTCACAGGATAGATTACGATGGCCGGAGTCTGCAGTAGAGAGCAGGACACGGATTTTGGATGTGGATTCGAGGGACCAAGGAGTCTAGAAAACTTTCAGTTTCTGGCTTGCGCGCATTATTCAGTAAAATACCTCCTCTGACAGCACCTAGCATTACTCAGCATAGTAGCCAGCTGACATATTTTTACATTTCCCAGGCCAGGTCGAGCCTTTTCCTCTCTGGGCTCTGGGGCTCAGCAGCAGCAGTAAGTGTTGATAAACATTCGCCAAGGAATAGGAAACGATCGACTTCCCCCTCCAACCTCGTATCCGCCCTTTACGGCGGTGGGTCCTGAAGTAAATCCATGTGGAGCGCATGGGTTAGGGGTCTCTCGACCTAGAGGCCCGCGACCCCCCGAGAAAACGTTTCTTCAGCAGCTCACCTGAGGCCAAGGCCCGGGACAAGCCGGGCCAACCCTGAGAGGACGCAGCCGCTCGCCCGACGCCAGCAATCGAATCTCCCGCGTCCCCTTCCGCCGGAAGTACGTCTTGACGGAGCTTCCCGGGAGCCAATCAGAAAAGGCTCCGCGGGGCGTGTCGCTCATCCCGGAAAGCGACCGTCTCGGTCGGGCCCCGGGTGGACGTGGGTTCCGAGGGACGTTCTTCCCCGGCTGGTGGAGGGGTAGTTCCCTTGGCGAGGTGCGGGGGGAGCCCGGAAGGCGCGAGGCGCGGCAGGGGGTGGCTGCACCCCTCAGACGGACGCCGAGGGCGTGGGGGCGGGGGCGGGCTGCCGCCGCGGAATGGACAGGAGGGGGCGCTGTGGGGGAGGGAGCCGCCGTCGCGGCCAGCCTGGCGGGGCCGGATGGTTTACCCCGGCCTAGTCGGCACTGAAGACCCGGCGGCCGCAGAGGGGACGGGTTGTGCGGGGGATGGGGTGACCCGAGAACTGGAGGCGAAGAGCCGGGACTGCCGGCAGGAGTGCAAGAGCGATCTGCGAACCTTGCTCCGTTGCCCGCCACCCGAAAGACCCCGTGTGGAGTCCCTGTGCTTGTCTCCCCACCTAAGTAGCGAGGACAGTCACATGGTCTGCAAGGTTGCTGTTCTGGTGGAGCGAGAGGTCACGTGTGTGCCGTCTGCCTGGTGAAGGTTGTCGGTCAATTGCCTTGGTTGTCTCCGTCTGCTCTGTCGTTCCCCCTCCCCCTCCGCCTCTCTCCGTCTGTTCGTCTCGGCCCACTCTCCGCCCCCCCCAACCCCCTCGTGCCATCGAGTAGGGTTTTCCCAGAGAGGGGGTGTCGCGCTGCGGCTGAGGTTGCGGGGACAGTGGGATGGTGACAGTAAAAGCTGGCATATGACATGGCCTGGAGCAGCGGTGGGGTGCAGGAGCCTGAGATAAGAATGGGGCAAAGCCCTGCGGGGTAAAGGCCGACCCAGAGTGTGACCGCAGTGGTGGTGGGCGGGGAGGAGAGGGACGCCTAGTGACCGGCGTGGCGGAGGCGATGCCCGTAGGGCCAGGAGCTGCCTGGCTTTGGGTTTCCCGGGGGAGGAGCTGGTCTGCGGCGGGCGGAGCTAGGAGCTGGGCCCGGCTTAGTCTGCGCGCTTCTGCCGGCGGCCCTCTTTCTTTGGCCGCCAGCCGGAGCCATGGGCTGCCGGGCTCTCCTGCTCCTGCCTTTCCTATCCCTCGGGGCCGCCACAGCCATCCGGACTGGGCTAAAGACCCTCGGCAGCCTGCACTTGCCAACCAACCCCACATCAGACCCTGCTATAGCCAGTAGCTACTCAGTTTTTTACTTCCAACAGAAGGTAAGCGGCGGCTGGGGAGGAGGGATTCCAGGTCCCAACCGCCCGCACCTTGCTTGACTGGTACAGCTGTACGGAGCGCCGCCGCCCACTTCAAATTTCAGACTAATACTTCTGGCTTGCCTTGGTTTTAGTTCACATTTTTCTGGAGGGTGGCTTTAAGTCCTAATTTAAAACTCATCAGTAACAGTATTCCAGTGTCCCCCAACAGTGACGAAGAGAAATTTATTCCTACAGTTCTGGAGGTCTGGGATACGTATATTTTTAACACTTCATTCACCTCCAGCTCTCAGAGACTGCCTCAATCTAAGCTTCTTTTTATCTTGGCCAAAAACAAATTATGGAAACTTGACCCCAGGTTTGAATTCAAATGTATGGAGACTATCTTTGACCCCTGGGTTTATGAACACAAATTCTAATTTACACATTACATAATACTGTTACAGTGTAAAGCATCACCCTGCCTATTCGCTTCACTGAACAGCTGAAATACTACTTTAGTGGCTGAAGGTCTGTATCTGTATCTGAGGTGAGTGCAAGGATCAGGTCTCAAGTTCTTTAACTAGAGCTCACAGTTTTAAGACAGGCTTCTCCAACGCCTTTGTACTCAGCTGTAGCATGAGAAATTGCCCGACAAGTCTGAATGGAAAAGTACCTGTGTCCTCTGAAATGATAAGAAACCCTTATAATTCTGTAGTTCTAGGAGCCGCTGTAGGCATGAATGTCCAAGGCACTGGGTTTAGAAAGAGTGCCAAGAGTCTGATCTTGGCTGTAGAAATCACACAAGGATTCCAGCCTAACTGTAATTTTGGGCAGGTTACAATTTCTGGGCCAAGTTTCTTCATTTACTGAAGAAGGTTGCAGTGGTGACTAAATGAAGCAGTTAACATCCCCCTAGCAAGTAGCTGTCCTAAAGTGGCAGTTCTCCATGCATGGCTACTCATTGAAGTTTGAGTAGGAATTTGGGAGAGGGATGACATACTGTTGTAGAACAATTTAATTTTTAAATAACTCTAGAAACCTGAATTTGAGTTTATAAAAAAGAGAAAGTATTTTAATTTTAGCAGAGGTAGCAGAAGTTTTTCTGAGGCAGCTCCTTTAATCTCCTATAGTTTCCTCATTTGTAACTTGAGAAGCTGGAGTCAGGACTATTGAATTTTATGCTTTCCCTAGGAAAACCTTTTTGTGGCGCCAGCTGCTTATGGAGGTCTAGCTGAAATGAAGGCTGTATTAGGACCCCTAGGAGCTCCTCCTCCCAGCAACTCAGGCCACCTCATCCGAGGCGTTCTGCTTCTATCTGCTTTCTTTAATTTGGGTTTTAAAAATAATCACTTTTTTTGTTTGTTTATTGTAAAGCAAAATTGAATTCAGGGCTTTCCCTATGGAATTCTAATCTTAATTCTTGTACTGGATTTTGTTTCTTTTTTACATATTTAACTCTTTAATGCATCCAGTTATTAACAATAAAGTTAGAGGGAGAAGCTTTGAAATTTATGATCTCTAAAATCTCTGGGAATGATGCATCGGGGGAATGCAAGGGTAGGAGGGATGGAATAATGCTAATTTATTTTTCTCTGTCTCCTCTCTGTTTCTCTGTCTCTCTTTCTATGTGTGTGTGTGTTTGTGTGTGTTGTTCTCACCAGTGCACGTATAGAGAGGAGGATGTCAGGTGCCCTGTGCTCTCACTCTCTGCCTTATTCCCTTGAATAAGGGAATGTTCTCTTATTAAACCTGGAAGCCTGGCAGGCAGTTAGTCCTAGGCAAGTCTGGGGGCATGGCTGACTTTTTATGTGGGTACTGGGGTCTGAACTCAGGTTCTTAGGCTTGCACAACAAGTGCTCTTACTGAGATGTCTTGCAATCCCCTCCATTGTTTTTAAAAATATAATTTGACTTCTTTTTTTCCTTCCTTCCTTCCTTCCTTCCTTCCTTCCTTCCTTCCTTCCTTCCTTTCTTTTACATTTTGGTAGTTGGCAAGTGTGTTTGGTTTTACTCAGCAAAATTTTATACTCTAGGCTTATACTGAATTTATACTTTTAGACACTTTCATTATGATATCTTATTTATGTGGTGCTGGGAGTTAAACTCAGGGCTTTGTGCATGTTAGACAAGCACCCGCTGAGCTACACCTCCATCCCATGTATACTTTCTTCTGTAGGCTTATGTGGTATATGTACATGTTTGTGTGGGTGACTGCATGTGTATGCAGGTGCAAATGTGTACATGTGGATGTTTGCAAATGGTTCCCTTTTTAATTTCTTCCCATCTAATTTTTAAGACAGGATCTCTCACTGAATTCAGGCTGGCTGGCCAATAAGCTCTAGAGATTCTCCTGTCTGCTTTGCTTTAGGATTATAGGCAAAAGCCATGCCCAGTGTTTAGAGAGTGTACATCCAGGAGAGATTCAGAACTCAGGCTCTTAACTGATTAAACTGTCTTAGCCACACCCCCTTTCACATTCTTAATAAAAGTTTATTTTATTAAGAATAAATGTAGAACAAAAATCCAAGACAACATGTCCTTCTAGCTGTAGGTGGCAAGGATGTCTTAGCAAGCAAGGCAAATGTTTAAATAGGAATGGAATCGAGGCTCACTGTGATCCGAAGCACAAGGAACACCTTTTTGCCAGATTTCTTTTTTTAATTTATTTATTTTAATTAATTAATTTAACTTATATTCACTTTATATCTTTATTGTAGTCCCCTCCTTCCTGTCCTCCTGGTCCCACACTCCTTCCCTTTTCCTCCTATTCTCCCCTACCCTTCAGATAAGGGGAGCCTCCTCCCACCAACTACACAAATCACATCAGGATTGAGTGCACTTTTTCCTCAGTGGCCTGGCAAGACAGCCCTTCCAGAGGAAGTGATCAGAAAGCATGTAACAGAGTTTTTGTCAGAAACAGGCTCCTGATCCTCTTACTAGGGAAACCACATGAAGACTAAGCTGCCCATTGGGTACATATATGTAGGGGGCCTAGGTCCATTCCATTCAGGATCCTTAGTCTGTGCTTCAGTTTTCGCATTCCCCTTTGGGCCCAGGTTGGTTGGCTCCGTTGATCTTCTTGTGGAGTTCTTGACCCTTCCAGGCCCTTCTTTTCTTCTCCCCATTCTTCCACAAGGCTCCCGCACTCTGCCCAATATTTGGCTGAATCTCAGCATCTGTTATGATCGGTTGCTGGGTGGAGCCTTTCAGAGGACAGCTATGCTAGGCTCAGGTCTACAAGCATAGCAAAGTGTCATAGCATAGTTAATAGTATCAGGGATTGGCTCTTTCCCTTGGTGTGGATCTCAGGTTGGGCCAGGATTGAGTTGGATATTCCCTCAGTCTCTGCTCTGTCTTATTCCTGCACATCTTATAGGCAGGGTAATTTTTGGGTCGAAGCTTTTGTTGGTGGGTTGGAATTCCACTTTCTCCACTAGGAATCCTGTCTGGTTAGAGGGTGGCCTCTTCAGTCTCCATGACCACCGCTACCAGGGGTCTCAGAGTTACTCCCATATCCTTCTAGAAGCCTACCCTGTGGTAGATCTCTAGTTTGTCTCAGAGATGCCTCTGCCAAAGGTATCTCTTTGCTCTGCAAGCTCCTGTCCTCCTGCCTAGGCTCTCCCTACATCTGATCCCCACCCTTGTTTCCCTCAACATTCCCTTTCCTATCCTGTTCCCTCTCTTCAAACACTTCCACTGTCTATTCTATTTCCCCTTCTAA